ACTTACAAATAAGAACAAAGTTCCTTTATGGGCCGGTGAAAACAACTTAAAATTAGCCTGTAGGGATGGTTACACAACTCTAAAAATATACCAACCCAACACTGAATCGTACACTTAGAAAGATGAATTGTACAATACATAAACTACATCTCAATGCAACTGTTTAAAGCAGGAGGAGGGACCATAACAGGACCTACACGAACTTGAAAAGGCATCATCCTGTGCTCAAAAATAGCAATGAGTGTGGCTGTCAAAAAACATCATGACTCCAAGTGAATGAAATCCAGAGCATGTTTAAATCCATGAACTCTGAATGAAAGATTTTTTGAAAATACAGTAGGTTACATAGATCTATGGTTACATCAAAGTTATATAGAACTAAATACATACATGCACAAGTGTATACACATAAAACTGTGAAATCAAATGAAGAGATGAAGGTTGTATCACCTGCTGTTTCTAGCTGTGAACTGAACAAGTTAAGCAAGATAATATTACCACAGGAAACTCAGTGAGGACACACCCTTTCTTACAACTCCCTAGAAAATATCACTATCTTTAAAGGAGGTTTTTTTTTTGGGGGGGGGGTGTCTTCTGTTTGCTTATTTATTTGTTTAAGGTGGGGTTTTATGCAAACAAGGATAGTCTTGAATTTATTATGTATCCAAAATTAGTACTGATCTAATGCCCCTGCCTCAACTTCCTAATTGCAGAAATCACAAATGTGTGCTAATATGCTAAGTATGCTAATTAAAATAAAAATTTCTAAGTAAAAGAAAAGTACTTTCTCTTTCTTTTTATTCCTACACCAGGGCAACAGGAGCTAGAAAATTACGACATTGGACATGGTAGGTTTGAACACCATGCATAGTTGAATCTTGTAAAAAGTAAGAAAGGTAGAGACACTGAAAAAATTAATTTGTATAGGATAGGCATGAAAACACACACCTGGAAAGGAAAATAATCAGTAAAATAAAATAAATAACAAAAATATAATATTTGTTTTATTTTAATAAAATGAAAGAAAGGAATTTATGAATTTAAACATGTGAATTTCTTGGTATCATGATTTTTTCTGAAGGCCACACCTTGCTGTTTTTTAACACACGAAGCCTTTTCAAGTTCATGTCTTGGTAATATAGATCAGTGGTAGAATGCTTACCTAGCACTCAGGAGGCCCTCAGTTCCATCCTAGTGTCTGTCTGTCTATCTCTGTCTCTCTCTCTCTCTCTCTCTCTCTCTCTCTCTCTCTCTCTCTCTCT